AAAAAAAAAAAAAAAAAAAAATACCCAATTTTTGGTTTTCAACTAGTCAACTTTGAATAGCTGTGACTTCAAAACTACTTGTTGCCATAAATTTTTCAAACACTTGAAATAAGCAAAAATAATGTTTCAGAAAAAAAAGTTTGTTAGGTAAAGAAAATTTGTTCCTAAACTTATTAGTATAACAAATAAGTAAAAAAAAATTTTTTGTTATTAATCAGGTCGTTTTGAAACCAATTAACTACAGTTAAAATACTTAAGAGGAGAAAACAATATAACACCCCATAACTGTTGGTTTTATAATTGTCCAATTAATGATGTAGACTTGGAGGGCCTCTTGTTGACAGTAATATTCAACTTTTAAATGAAGTATAGAGCAAAAAAATAAAAATAAAGGTAAAATATGGAATTTCGTAGTTTTTTTACTGAGGCTTACTAATTTTCATAATTTGTCTTTTTTATTAATTATACAATATTTTTTTTAATTTAAAATAAAATTGTACTCCTTGAGACAACGATCAAATTGTAAACATGAACGTAATTTGTATTTTTAAATGATGTTGAAAAATTTAATGTCGGATTGTGCACTTTTCTTTATTAACGTGAACATAAGTATGTTCATTTGACAAATAAAAAACTAATAAGAACGAATCCTTAGTGATTGTTCGAAACATTAATGTTGTGATTACATGATATAATAATGTAATGCAATTACAATAGAACAAGCTGTTCTGTGTAACTACACAGACAATATGAAAATAAATAGTTTATGATAATCACTACGCTAGTTAATTATTAAATTTAAATCATTTACGTTTCAAGGCTTTTTTAACCNATTATTAAATTTAAATCATTTACGTTTCAAGGCTTTTAATACAAACAATCGGATAAAATATTAGTAGATACAATGATAATAAAACAAATGCTAATAATTTATGTACTTCTAATAAATTGTTTAAATGACGCGTCACTAATAAATATATACACATAAAGTAATTGTAGAAAGAGTCGTTTATTGTTCGTGTGTTCTATATTTTATTTTTTTTACCGTGGTATTGATTAAGGTTGAAATTGATAATTTTGTGATAGTAATAATTTTGGATGTAAACTAATAAGTAATGAGAACTAATCTGGTAAATGTTATGCTTGAAACTGTTTTGCTTTTTGTATTTAGTGTCCAATAAAATTTTATTATGATCAATTGCAATATTTATTTATTTTTCGAGAAAACAGGTTAGATTTTTAAAGTTTTGTTGATTTCAGACTTGATAAAATGTTAAAATTATAACATTTATGTATTTATCAGATATGACTAGACCTATTTATTATTTGATACAAATTAAAAAGTACTTGAAGTATATTTTTATAATTGTATTATGGCTAATGTACTACTTTGGGATCTTTACTCATTTCTTTGAACTGGATTATTATAAACACTTTTCATACCCACTGGAAACTGATATAACTAAATGCATTTTAAATTTAAAAGGAATCTTACCTGATCAACTATCTTGCGAAATTATTAACCCATATGATTTCAATTTGTTGTTGACAACTAATAAATGTGATCAAAACATACAATTATTGATACTGGTTAAATCGGCACTAAACAATTTTGAAAAAAGAGCAAGTATAAGAAAAACTTGGGGGTTTGAAAATAGATTTTCAGATAAGCCTACTAGAACAATATTTATCTTAGGAACTACTTATGAATTAAATTTACAAAAACTTATACAAATTGAGCATGAAAATTATGGTGATATTGTACAATACAGTTTTGTAGATAATTATTATAACAATACATTGAAGACTTTAGGTGCCATTACTTGGGCATCAACATATTGTAGAAATTCCTCGTATTATTTTTTCTCTGATGATGATATGTATGTATCAATTAAAAATTTGTTTCAATATTTGCAAAACCCATTTGAATATCCAAATAATATAATTAATGAAGTAAAGAATTCTCAATCTATACAGAAAATATCAGAAACATTATTCTCTGGATATGTGTTTAATTCATCACCATTGAGGCATCAAATAAGTAAATGGTAGATTTTAAAAAACTATTCTAGAATTAGTAATTTTTATTTTAACAATTATCCATATTTTTTAATTATTTAGGTACGTTTCACTTTTTGAGTATCCGTATCATATGTGGCCTCCTTATGTCACTGCTGGTGCCTATGTTATGTCTCATACAGCTTTGATTGATTTCCATTACGCCAGTTTCTTCACCAAAAGATTTCGTTTTGATGATATATATTTAGGTTTAATAGCTAAGAAATTGAATATTACTCCTCTTCATTGTGAGCATATTTATTTTTATAAGAAATATTATAGTATTAAAAATTATAAATATGTGATTGCTAGTCATGGTTATGATAATAGTAATGAATTACTAAATGTTTGGTTAGAACAAAAAAGCTTTGGTAATGCATAAAAATATTTTGATACTTAAAACATAAAAGAATTAATTTTAATTGTTAAATAGAAAAAATGTAAAGTTATTGTTATTTTATTGTACAAATAATATGTTATGCATGTGATATTGATTTTAAAATATTCTGTAATACTACTTTTTAATGAAAGCTTGCTTTATATTGCATATTATAGGTTAATAGTTTCTAAAAATAGTATTTTTTGTTAAAAAAGTAAAACACTTATTATCAAATACAACAAGTAATAATACTTGCTTGAAGTGCTTGAGGATATATCCATGTTTACAGTTGAGTTCTGACGTTTCTGACTCATTGCAGAGTCCATCTTCAGAGTGATGGTTGCTAGTCGGTGGCTGCAACTATACTTTTAACACATTCATAAGTAATAATACTACTTAGTTATTTGGTTTATTTCACTTATTCCTATTTGATTCAGAAAACGATTTAGAGGATGATGTGCAAGAGTTGATAACATGATCATGTGAACTTTCACAGATACAAAACTTGGTCATAGATGTCTCTGTTGTTTAGAAAGAGATCAGCTTAATTTTGAACTTACCATCTATTTCTAAAGAGCTATCCATCCATTTCAAAATGAATATGGTTATGAAATCTTTTGGAAGAGGGGATTTTTATTATTATTAGTCATTATAATTAATTATAATCAAATATACTTAGAGATGGTTCAATTTATAATAATTTGTACATGCCTAATTTAAATTACAACTTAAGAAAAAATACCACTTTTTTTAATAAGAAATTGTAATGTTTACTTCATTGAGTTATTTATTTTATTTAGTAGTTCCTAGTATGTATGTGATAAGGCAAAATAATTTCTCAAATAATGTTCCTAATTATTAGTTTTCAGATATTTTAAACATCAATTAATTATGTGTAATAATGGGCATGCATCGTTGTATGAATTTTGATATCAAATCTAATTTTAATTTTAAGTTGTCAGTAAATCAAGTTTAAAAGAAGTTTTATTTTTTGGAAATATATGAAAATATTTACCATTTTATTAATAACAACATATAATTTACAAAATATAGGATTTTATATGCTATATACAAATTACACTCTTATTTAACTAAATAAAATAAATGCACTTGTTAAGTATTATAATGCTGAAAAAAAATGAAACAAGGCATTATTATTAATGCAATGATATGAGTAAAAATAAAACATCTATCATAATTTTAACACAGTGATAACAAAAAATTGATTGTAAATTTTTGGATACACTAAAATCAAGCAATTTCTATGCATCTGATGAATTTTCCAAAGTAGCTGGAGTTACGACAAAACGTTTTATTGGTGAAGTATATGTATCTCCTGAGTCAATTGTTGAATAATTTTCTCTGGGTGATTCAAAAATCGCTTTAAAGGATCCAGGAGAGTCATTTCCTTTGTATATATCTATAAATATAGTATGAAAAAGTTATAATTATTATAAAATAATGTAAAAGTTGAATAACAATTTATTGGTGAATAGTTTAATATATTTTCTAATAGCAAAAATTAAAATTAGAATTTCTTAGTGGTTGGCAAAAAAATTAGGATTGTACAATAAAACAATTTTAGCTGGGTAAAATGAAATTTATTTTTTTACATTATTTATAGTCTTTACCCTTTAAACATAATTTATTTTTAAAAATGCTTTAATTTTCAAACCATAGGTGCAATTTGCACAAAGGTTTAAGGGATTTAATTTAATAATATTTTTGTATAAATGTACATGTAATTTTTTAGAGAACTGTGAGCGAATATAGGGAGCTAAGCCCGCCCCTTAGACTTTTCTAGATTGTATTTATGTTTTAAACTTTAATTAAACAAACTTTAAAAATGATCTGATAGTGATTTAAATCACTGTTGTGAAACGTTTCGATGTGAATCGATGTATTTTAAATAGTGTATAATTTATTTAATAAATATACCTTAAACATAAGCCGCCGAAATATTTACGTACGGTAGCAAATTTGTATTGGTTTAGAAAAGGAACATACTAGTTAAAAAAAATATTAATTAAACATTTAAATTGACGTAATAAATTCTTTTTACTAATGTATAAATTCATTAGTATGATTAAACAAATAAAATAAATTTTATAAAATCAGTGAATGAAAGAAACCCTACAAAATCGGCATCTTTATCGAAAATTGTATGATTTTTGATTTTATTGCTCAATAATTGTATACTTGCCAAAATTATTCATTTTGCATTTTAAGATTTGAGATGATTTCATATCTCGCTGTAAATTATTTATGTGTTGCGAATTATGCTGCCTATTATATCCTGGTGACCACGTAACAAATGATAGCTGTAATTTATTCATAAACATGATAGAAATTATAAAAAATAAAATAAATTTAGTTTTCTTACGTCAAAAGGGTTGTATCCAGTAGTTAAGCAGGATCTACGTAAGTTTAAACCATTAGGAGAAAGTCCAAAAACAGTTGCATATTCTTCTTTTAATCTATATTTAAAGTTAGTTCATATATATAAATCAGGCGGGGGTTGTTTAAAAATTTAGTGTGGGTAAAATCTAATTACTAGTTTTTAATTGTGCATTTTATATTTTTTAGTAAATAATCACAATTTACTACGAACGTTAGAAGGGTAGGGTAGGAGATGTATTCCATGGGATTTTTTGTGTCACAAAAAAAAAACTACATACAATTTTAGCCTCCAAATTAATTGATATATATTTTAGTTTACGTCAATATTAAATAGTTTCTTTGGCGTAACTAGGTGAGAGCTTGAAAAGTTCTAAGCTTTCCTTGACGTCATAGTTTCTAAACCTTGGTAAATTTTATAATTGGCTATTTAAAATTTTGATTTTATATTGGGTTTACAAAAGTTTGAGGTAACTTAAGTAATTTAAAAAAACAATAGACATTATCTAGCTTAAAATTTATTTTATAAAGCCTGTGTGTTGTATGATAAATCTAATTTCGACAGTGCGACAAAATAGATGGATTTTACATATGAAATAAATGTGTAAAATAAATTAAGTCATAAAATTGTCAACAATTTCTTATAAAGTAAAAAAAAAATATTCAATACAAAATTTACTATTTGTACTGGTTGTAGTATTATGTGATTTGTGTCTATGTAGCCTATTTTTATGTATACGTATAAAAATAATGGACATTTTTTACCTTGCAAATAAAGATAAGTTTCTCATTTGCGAAAACAAATAACATCTTTTTTTTTCCTCAATATTGCATATCTAGGGCTTTGTGTAACAATTTACTAGAGAGCTATTTTAAATAGATCTAATATATTTCAGCCTCTGTAGACTCAAATTTATAGTTACGCTTATGAATACTTTCAACATCAACAGTGACTTACAGAATTCTAAAAACTAGAGATTTGAGGGGAGATAAGTCAGCTTTTTACGGTCTACGTATGAAGGAATTAAAATACATTGACTGTTTCTTATATAAACTTATTTTAAAAGATCAATCTTATTCTTATTCTTCCTCGCCTTAATCTCAACTATTTGGGGTCGGCCACCCTTATCCTAAACTTCCACTTGATACGATCTTCCATATCTTCTACGCTCACTTCAGCTGTCCTTATGTCCAGATGCATTCAATAACATCTCTCTATCTCTTTTTTGGTCTTCCTCTACCTCTTCTTCATTCGACATTCATTTCTACAACTGTTCTTACGGCTTCCGATTCTTCTCTTCTCATAACATGACCAAACCATCTAAGTCTATTTTCTCTCATGTTATCCACGATTGACGCTACACCTATACTCCTTCTTATATACTCATTTCTTATCCTATCTTCTCTAGTCACTCCACTCATCCATCTAAGCATTTTCATCTCTGTTACACTCATTCTCTGTTCTACTTTCTTATCAACCGGCCAACACTCTGAACCATACATCATAGCTGGTCTCACTACAGTCTTGTAGAATTTACCTTTTAGTCTCATTGAAATTTTTTTATCGCATAAGACACCAGACGCTTCTCTCCACTTCAACTACCCGCACTTAAACCTGTGTCTTACATCCTCGTCAATTCCACCGCTCTTTTGCACAACTGATCCTAAATACTTAAAACTTAACGCCTCTCCTATCACGTCCTCGCCTATTGTCACTGATTTCTTCATTTCACCTACCTAGTGTTCTCCTTTGTCAAACTCGTACTCTATATACTCTGTCTTACTCCTACTTATTCTTAAACCCTTTTCGTCAAGAGCTGATCTCCACACCTCTAGCCTTTGATTAATTTCCTCCCTATTTTTCCCTATTAATACTATATCGTCACCGAACAACATGCATCGCGGCACCTCTTCTTGTATTTCTCTAGTAATTTCATTCATCACTATAGAGAATAAGTAAGGGCTTAAAGCAGAACCTTGGTGCATTTTTACTCTTACCCTTAAATCTTCTGTTACTCTGCCTATAATTTTAACCCTGGTACAAATTCCATCGTATATAACCTCTATTACATTAATGTATCTTTTTGGGACTCTTTTTCACATTAATACCCACTTTAAAACCTCTCTTGGTATTCTATCATACGCTTTTTCCAAATCTATAAATTCAAAATACAGCTTTTTCTTCCTTTCTCTATTAGTTTTCTTACACAAATAATTGGCTCCATCGTTGACTTTCCAGACAATGAAACTAACAGGTTCTTTGTTATTGATGATATGTCTCCTCTTATTTTTTTGTCTATTACCTTTTCTCAAATTTTCATATTATGACTTATAAGCTTTATGTCTCTAATTTCCACACTCTTGTATATCTTGTAATCAAGCCCGGGAATAATTTACTAAATCCCAGATCTGACTCCAAGTTACGCCATTGCATGCCTCAGTGTGCAGGTACATATATCTCATACTGTTGTGCTGGGCTATATTAGTTTTCCGCAGTCTTCAGCAAAAGTAATAGTTTTTAACAGGGGCGTTTGGCATAAATATCATGCATATCTATTTAATATCTTAATGAATATGATACTTTTAGACTGTTCACTCATTTTACCGTAATGTTAAATAATGTGTTTCATCTTCTTGCCAACCAATATTTATGTCTTTTAAAGCTTTTAGGTATTCATTTATTAATCTTGAATTATTACTTTTCTTCGGAGTTACAGCTTTTATCTAAATAACCATAAAAAATTGTATCAACTTGATGTTTTAATAATTATTTTTTGCAAATAAACTGTGCAACGTAACTATAACTTACTACGCAGATCTACCTAATTAAGATAATCTCCAGCTAAATAATATTTGTATAAAATAATAACATGTATACTTTTTAAGAATTTTAGTATAGCATTATGACGCCGATCTATTGTGTCTTTTTGTTTAATTGTAACACATTAAGTACCTACTTTTAGAATAACAATACCACATGCAAATATACAGATTATATTTATGAATGTCAGGCACATACTCATTGCTCCTTTTATAGCAAAATCAACCGATAGTATCGTTGAATATTGTAAATTTGCAGTAACAGCTGTAGATCCAATATTTCTTACTGCAAATGCCCACAATAGCCCCTAAACAAGTATATTACTAAAGTTTTGAATAATAATTATAATAATGCAAAATTAACCTATAATTTTTATTTCAATTATTACTATGCTATGATAAATTTGTCATTAAACTGATTTAACCTAATATCTTGTAATCATATTTTATTATTTTTTAAAATTTATACCAATAATTCAATTTTATTTATGCATTATTATAAAGGAATGATAGTTTTATAAAAAGAACCTGATAGCACAAAAATAATTTTTTTGAATTTTATCCTAGTATTTTATAGTATTGTAGTTATACAGGGTGATTTTTTTATCATAACCCACTCAATTACTTGCAGAATAATAATAATTTAAACATTTTTTTTTTTTATTATTTTTAGTTACACATTATTCTTGAATTTTTGACTATGTAATACTTTTTAAGTTCATCCCTTATGCCTTGGAAGGGGGTCAACTTTGTTTTTTTAAATGGTAACACATATTTTTAATTTAATAAAATGTTTGAGTTTTTAATTTGAAAGTAAATGGCATTTGAATTTTTAATATAACTTTATTAGCTTATTAGATATAAACATTTAAAGTTTCAAAATTTTGAGTTAATATACATGTATAATACACATGGGATTGTAAATACAGGTAGCTAATTGGATTTTTATGACATTGCTGTCTCAGTCACGGATTGTTTATTATCAATTATGATTATCAATAGATATACTTTCTGTATTGTCAGTTAGTGTATTTATAAACTCATAACAATGTGCCTTACTACAATTGATAATAACAATGCTGTGTACCTGCTAATATCGATGTTATAAAAAACCAATTAGCTACCTGTATTTACAATCCCATGTGTATTATACATGTATATTAACTCAAAATTTTGAAACTTTAAATGTTTATATCTAATAAGCTAATAAAGTTATATTAAAAATTCAAATGCCATTTACTATTAAATTAAAAACTCAAACATTTTATTAAATTAAAAATATGTGTTACCATTTAAAAAAACAAAGTTGACCCCCTTCCAAGGCATAAGGGATGAACTTAAAAAGTATTACATAGTTAAAAATTCAAGAATAATGTGTAACTAAAGATAATAAAGAAAAAAAATGTTTAAATTATTATTTTTCTGCAAGTAATTGAGTGGGTTATGATAAAAAAATCACCCTGTATACTATAATATATTACTAAGTACAAAAAATAACGCAGTAGCTCAATATAAATAAAAATATATTTACGATTATGAAGTATGTCAATTTATATTTTACTTTTCTTTTAATTACCTCTACCAAAATATAAGAAATTTTAATTTATTAGAATCAAACGACTTAAAAATGAATAAACAAGTAGTATTAATAGAAAAATAAAATTTATTTTTGATTTCCTGAAAAATCAGAAAAAGCGAGTTCATGTGTTATTTGTTACGCATAGCAATATATATATATATTAAGATGGTCGTTAAAATTTATTTTCTTATAGTCCCTAAATTTATATTAATTATTATAAATAAGATCTGTGAATAATATAAGACCAATATGACAAGATTAACATGTGCCGATGAGTCGTCTCTGAGGTTGAGTAAAATCGTTATTCAAAAAAATCAACAAAAACTTCATAAGTGACAGCATAATGAAATGATACTTTTTTATGATATTGACTGTATGATAAACAGCAAATTATTAATGACAATTGTTCAAAAATTGCTAAAATTTGATAAGTCCAAACAGAAAAAGTTTATCGTGTAAACAATATCATAAAAATAAAGTTATTAAAAAAATGTTTTATATTATTAAACTTGAATAAGAGTTAAATAATTTAAAGCTTATACTTTTATTTTCTAAAGGGATGAAAAAAAATGAATTAACTTAAAATTTTAATAATAAACATTTTACATACAGCGTTTACAGCAGGAGGCAATAATGATGTTGATATTGCTACTCCTACTAAAGAAAACGTATTATTCCCTAATAAAGCAATTGGCACAGCTATACCCGTGAGAAAAGCAAGTACAATACTGACCCACAAACTTTTAATATCTGTCCTAAAATAAAAATAAAAAGTTTAAATAAATTGAATTAATTTAATATATAAAATTTAATTACATGTTCACCATTTCTTCAGTCATCCATTCACTAGGATCTCTTTCGTCAAAATAAGAAGCTGTCAATCCATATCCAAAACCAATAATCACACAAAGAACTAACCCCACTATTTCGTTAACGATTCCCATATTTCTAAGTTTTTTATCTTTGATCATAGTACCAAAAGTTGCGGCGTTTATAGGGCCCTATAGAAATAAATATTAAAATGATATTATCCACTTATTTGAGACATAAATATTTTTTCTTTACTACTGTATCTAGGCTTTTACTTAGAATGTCGAGACTTGGTGTACTAAAGAAATACATAAGTTTATCTGAAAGTTTTCAGGAAGCCTCATTTAATATTTTTAAGACATTTTTAAATGTCTCTCCCGAAATAATAAAATTATGAACAAAATTCTTATTCATTTGCCTACCATCGCACTATGTTAATCGAAATGTATACATCATACATTTGGAGTTTAAATAATTGATTCCAGATGTTGAAGACACTTTATAACTTGCCGTTAAACAGTTATTGACTTGTTGTAATATCCACGCATGTTACGTTTAAATAATTCTTAAAATACTTTATAAAAAGGTACATATCGCAAAAATTGTATTATGTGCTAAACGGATTATTTTTTTTTTTACACATGATGACAATGTTATAAAAATGCGACAATGTAATCTAAACATATATATTTTTATACAATAGTATAATAATTATCTAGGTCATAATTACCGTGTAATAACTAATACAATTACAGTGGTAGTCAAGGGTGAACGTATTGGGAAATAGATACCATATCCTTTTTGACATCTTTGTACAATTTTAGTTATATTTAATTAATTGATATAATAATTAATTAATATAACATAATTTAATTTAAAAGTGTTAGTAAAGTGTTTTAATAACAAAATATATACTTTTAACTTTTAAACTTATTTTAATTTTATTTTTTAATTATTACAGACTGTATTCACAAAATATTTTGGAAAAATCAATACTCTCTTCAATTGAATTTTAAATAATATTAAAGAAAACATTTTAATATTTACCATCAGAGGTGATAGAAGCATGCTAGCCACAAATATTATAGTCTCACCTTGAGTTAATCCAAGAGCTGCAACCATTCTATACAAAAAAACACAAAATTAGCATTCATTAGCAGTTACCCAGTCCTTGGGTATTTTTATTTAGTTTTTTAAGGTTTTGAATAGTAGTCTTTAGTTTTCTTAACAATACTAAAATGAATTTAAAAACAAAAAAAATATATAATGTATAAAACATAATTATCAAAAACTACTAAATGTGCCGATATTTCGTTATCATACTAGTAGACCTTTCTTATTCTCTTGTGAGAAGTCATAAGGCAAATTGACTACTTTTGAATATTTTCAATTGACCGACTTTAGTTTATTTAAAATCTTTTGCATCTTTCATTTTTGAAATGAGAATTTCGGAAATTTAAATTTTACAAATTAAATTTTGAATAAAGTTCATGCTTTAAGCTTATAAAAATGAAAGTATTTCAAACATATATTCAATAATAAAAGCTTATAATTCACAAAATTTAGAAAAATAAAAATTGAAATCTTTTGAATCACAACAGTTATTTTGCTTTCCACTATTTTTTGTTGTATTCAATAAAGTTTACATATAATATATGTAATAAATCAATGCAAGATGTATGGGAGACTGGGAAACTATGGCCAGAGGGCAAAACCGGTCACCTCATTATCTAATAAACCCATGCATCTAAAATTATGTTGACCATACGTATATATATATATATAGTGATAAAAAACCCTTATTTTATCAGAACTATATTATCAAAAAACGTTTTCATGTTTAATAGTGTGAACATAGTTTTCAGCGTTTATTTATCTAAAAAAATGTTGTCAAGAAATTAAATTTAATGTTTGTAAATTATTATATATTTCTAATTTATATATGTACGTATAGAACAAAATATGAGGATTATTCTATATTCAAATTATCTACCTAATAGTATAATGATTTGATTGATTAAAATATTTTCTTATTACTAGTCAAAAAGAGAAATATCGATCAAAATTAATGGTGTAATAGCAGTCATTTCTGGAATGACTGGTGTTACCTCATTCTCAATTAACATGTAAAAATGAAAATAAATTTTTTCTTTTACAGCAGTATTCAATCTAATGATTGGTTGTAGCATCTTCCATGTTTCTATATCACTAGCCTCCTTTTCAACTCTTCATATGAATTACATCCTTGATCTTCTATTATCTGACTTATGTATTGCAATCTTAGTCTTCCTCTATGATTTTTTTCCTTCTAAGATTAATTATAGCCTTCCGTCGTGTCTTAAAGTATGACCTATTAATTAATTTCACCTTTTCTGTATACTCTTCCATATTAATTTCGTATCAAATACCCTTTCTAAAACTTTTTCATTAGAAATTCTATCAGTCCAACTTATCTTTTCCATCCTCCTGTTCACCACATTTCGAATGCCTCTATTCTCCTCGTGCAACTGTCCATGTTTCGCATCCATTAACATGATACTCCAGATGTACGTTTTTAGTAGATTCTTTCTAATATTAAGGTCAGTGTTTTTTGAAGTAAAAAGACTTCTTTTCTTATTAATTGTCACTTTAGCTTGAGATATTCTCTTTATAATTTCCTTTTTGCATCTCCCATCTGAGCTTATAGTGCTATCCAAATATATAAAATCTTCTACTAGTTCTACAGTTTCATTGTCCTTTAATTTTATTCAAACCCAAACTTTTATCACAATAATACTAGTATTTTTTGTTCATAATTATTTTTACTTTTTAGTTCGATGTGCGTGTTTTTTTAGTTTTTTTAACTATATTTTTATATGTAAATCTTAATATGTAAATATTTTTTCTGAATCTGTAACAACTAGTTCTTCTTCGTCATATAGTGTTTCTACGTATACCTTCCATCTATCTACAACCTGTTCCTGCTCATTAATAATTTCTCCTTCTTTATTTTCTATTGCTCCAAATTTGAGTGTACGTACTCCAAAGAACTTTTTTACTGTTTTATGAGCTTCTTCTCTCTTGTCCATTCTCACCAAAATGTCCATTTCCTCACATTTTTCTTCTAGGTATTTTTTTTTTTGCTGATTTTGATTTCCAATTTAAATAAGTTTTATTCTGATAAGTACCAAAGGAAATTGGAGTTCAGAATCTTTAATGGAAGCAATATTCAGTGTTAAAAATAAAATAATGAGTATCCGAAAAGCAGCTCAACATTTTATAATTTACCTTATTAAACCAGCCATACTAGGACTATCATCTATTTTCACTTCAGAACAAGAATCAGAATAAACATGTTTTTTTTTTATAAAAAAAATTGTTGATATTCATTAATATAATCAAGTGCTTTGTTTTCATTAATTATGTTTGAAGACAACTTTTAGTTTGAACTATATTTCAGTGATTATTTAAAAATTTATTTTATCCCTATCTTTTTCCATGTATTTATGTATGGCCGATATTCCACCGGGGTAAGGGAATACTGGTTATTTTTATTAAAAAATATATATTTATATATGTAAGATTATATTTAAAAAATCTTAGACTTTGACATAATGCAGTCAATATGTTTATACAACCATTTGTTGTAATAGCATAGCATTTAGAGTCTTAGAACCAGAGATATAACAATTTTTGCTAAAGTGATCGTAGTTCCCCAGTCTCTCCTATGTGTTAGACAAAAATTGCATTACCGATGTGACTTTGTTAAATTAATAAGACCCACTTAGCCAAATAACATACAAAAACGTATACATACATTTTTAAAGGACAATACACAATTTTTAGCTATTAAATGAAATTATTTTTAACCTTGATTGATTTTTAGCTTGTTTTTTTAATTAGTGTACATTTAATTTAGGATCAACAGTTTAAAAAAATCGGTTAAAATACTAAATATCTGTTAGTACAGAAATATATTTGGAAATGGACATAAGGTCTAGACTGCGCCTGATTTTTAAAAAATTATATTACAGTTATGAGTTTAAGCTTGATAGTATTTCATAGAAAAGGTTAAATTTTTTAATAAAATTTTGGTTTCCTGCGTTGTAATCAGCCATCTTTTGCAGGATAATGAGGCAAGTTTTAGAAAGTCATATAAAGAATGCCCAGTTTTAGAAAATAAAACTAAATAAAATATACTTATGTATTAATTAATAAAAATTTTAAAAGTTATTTAAGAATTCAATGATTTAATAAAAATAAAAATAATTTGTCTCATAATTTCGTTTAAATAATAATTAGAATTATCTAGTAGTCATTTATAATTTTTCAATAAGCTATAATTCTATATTTCATTATACTCTTTATTTTGAATATTTTATTTGAACGATTGCTTCGATTGTGACTCAAGTTTCATGCTGTTCCTTTTGCTTTTTTGGAATAAATGAACATATACTAGGATATGTTGATATTAAACGATAAATTTTATTATTCTAATCTTCTGCTGCATTTAAAATTTTTGGAATTTCATAGGCAGTTCAACTAAGAACTGACCACATTTTAATTGGGAAACATATTTCGTAACATGTTATTACTTTTTTTTTAACTTCAAATTTTTCGAAGCATATAGTTTTCTTCAAAATATGTTGCTGGATTAATTTTATTGCTATCAAATACAGATTAGAAAATACTCTTTGCTTCCTTCACTTTTCCAAAGGTAAAAATGATAAATTTGCAATTTGCAATCTTATGACCTCGAAAATTAACTCTAGCATACTTTGATATTTTGTAACCAAACCCAACTCATGGATCTCACGATATATCGGCTGTTTTTAATAAAAAAAAACATGCAGAATGGATTGCATGCTTTTTTTTTTTGTAGAATTTATTATTGTTAATATTAAATAATTTTACATTTTCGTATGATAAACAATGAAGTCCAGTACCATAATGTATGGTACTGAACTTATGTAAACTAATCACATATAACTGTATAGTAGTGATGAGCAATCTAAATAGATGAATGTGTTAAAACTTTCATGGATTGTCTTGTTGCTTGAAGTGCTTGAGGATATATCCATGTTTACAGTTGAGTCCGAAACGTCAGAACTCAACTGTAAACATGGATATATCCTCAAGCACTTCAAGCAATCTAAATAGATATTTTGATGAATGGATTTTTTGATTCGATCTTGTAGAGATCAATTTTATTACGAATCGATTCATTTTTACGAATATCATATCCTCAATATTCAGGGTATTCAGTAAGTAAGGTAACACGTTAATTATAACCATTGGCCTGTTTCCCTACATACTAAACACTGTATATATCTTTTTTAATTATTGTATAAGTTGTGTATGTAAATTTAATTAAATTGTATCTTATAAATTTTATGTTATGTATATGAATTTTTTTATGCCATCTAAAGAAAAAATGAATGATATAATTTTACTAAAATTTCTAAAAATTTTTTTAAAGTTGACAAATAAAAATATAAAGTCTCTATATCACAAAATTACCGACGAAAAATTGTTTTTCCGAATACATTTTTATTTGGATTAATCTTTTTGTTTTGATTTATATCAATTTAAACAGGTTAAAATTATCCAAAATCGCCCAACACTACCTGTATAGTAATTTATGATTCTTTAATAAATATTCCTTTATTATAAAGATAAAAACTGATTACTTATTAAATAACGATAATTCCAGGGAGTTGGTAATAATAATTTGTATTTAAAAAAGAAAAATATCTAAAACTTTTATATTTAAAAACCTGTCATTCTATAACTTGATTTTCTAAAACATACGCTCAAATTCTTTTGTTGTATGTACAATGTACATTTACAAATCTAAAATTTTGTGTTATCAATTTTGGTTTTTAAAATCTTGCGTGATTCCTCCTGCTTAACCCCTCCCACCATATTTCTTAAGCGATATCTATACTTACAAGAAAAAAATTTAAATGACGTTCCACTTGAGTGACTACATTTAATTTAACATAAATTCTTTAAGATAAATATAAAAACTTATTTTTTAATATTTTCGATCTATGATTAATAATATAACTATATTAAAAATTAATAATTATTGAATATTTAAAATGAATGAGAAATCAAACATAAACTTACAAATACGTGCACAGAGATGTGGAGTTGGGTTGGATTTTAAATCTGGGGAGTAAAAACTGGTTCATAACTCTTCCTAAACGGTCTATAACGTTATGGAAGATGTAAAGAATAGGTTGGGAATTTATCCTTAAACATCTATTTTGTAAACTTAGATTGAGATTTTTTTACAAAAAATTATGGTACATCTTTTTCAAATACATTGGCATTTTTGCTATTGAATACAAATTGTTAATGTCCCAATTCAATAAAATTAGTTCAGTAAGGGACAGTAAAAACAGCCTTTACAATATATAGCAACCTATACGCACGCCTATTCGAACTTGAAAAAATATATAATTCTTTATCAATCATTATTTTTCTAGTTCGATGGAAATTTTCTCAATTTTTTTTTAACCTGATAAAATAATGTATAGGGGTAGATTTATTACTAAGCTAATGTTTCTAATTAATACCCTGAAATATGGAGTTGGAAACATTTGTCTAATTAATTCAGTAATCAACTTAAATAAACTAACACTGATATTAAAAGTAGAATCAAAAAATCAAAAGTTAACTTAGCACCGGACTCCAAGCTTTGTGCAACTTGTGCGATTGTTAACCGAGACCTCACAGATTGTATGAATGTTTTCCATGATGATTCATACACACTTGTTGTATCGGAAGAACTAAAAATATGTAAAATTAGTAAACAGTACAAGCTGAAAATTAAGCAGTCAATTTTTAAAGTGATTTTATTTCTATCAATTTAATGATATAAAGATTTTTTTTGGACTCTGTGTGAAGCCGGAAGATACTAGTTTTATCATAATACATATATGTATGTATATTTATTTATTTATTTTTTGTGTCTGCTACTCAAAATACTCAAGTCCCATTGAATTAATATTGTCAGTCAAAACGTAAAAGAATCCGAAATTACATCTAGTTGAAGAATATATACTCCAAAATAACAAACAAAAACACGTTAATTATTATTATAAAAAAAATATCTTAAAAATGAGAATCATTTATGATCTATTGATATTGATCTTCTTTTTATTTTCTAAACTTTTCTACATTCTTAAAAATATTCAAATCAAAACGCTGTTTTTATAATTTATACAATTATGTTGTAATTGATATCAACTATTTTCTTTTGTACTACAGATCTGAGGCAAATTCAGAATTTTTTCTGAGGGATGCAACACATTTTTTTTACTAATTTCATCAATATTTATTTAAGTAGGGAGTAATAATTCAAAGAGAGAGTTCTGATTCCCCCTCCTTATTATTCCTGGTTACAATATTGTTAGTAAATTAAATTAGGGGTGAGCATCGGTATGAACGGACATTGATAACAGAAAATTGGTGATCGCTGTTCTTCATTTCAATCGATATTAGAAAAATATTCGCTTCGATAAAAACAATATTAATAAATAAAAAAGTTATGGCAGTTAAAATAAAAAGAAGCACAGTGGGGTCGCGGCACAGTGTGGACGAGGCATAGTTAAGACTAGCATAGATAATACCTGAAAGTAATCACTATCACAAGAAATGCTTTAATACAGATAGTGTTTAATTTTAAGTATTTATTCCTCATTAGTAGTTCTTTGATTTATATATATAATATATATAATATATAAACATATATTTATTATAGAATTTAAGTTGGTATAAATTGATATTTAATAATTTAGTGTTGTAATTTTTACGGAGAACTTATAAAAATCTATAAAGTAGTTATTACTTTAATGGCAAACTTGTATAAAAATTGAAGGTATTGATACAAAACTTTTCAGAAAATAATTTTTAGTTAATTATGAAAAAGGGATACAAGGAATTTTCACCAGTCAAAAATATACTTTTCTTGATAAATTTTCAGCGCTGATTTCAAATATGCAATTAAATTTTTTTTATCACCCTTAACATTTGATATTATTTCTACTTAGTCAAAAAATATAGGATATAACTATATGGAATAGAGTTCTGAATTTTTCAATTATAGAATTTATTTAAACAATAAAAGTTACATAGAAATGATTTGTATTGAAATGACTTATTATAATATAAATACAGAAAATATAATAAGAGATTTTAAAGAAATTTTGGAATTTTAATGTTTATAGTAATTATATAAGTTCCTGATCATATATTAATCTAATGAAAGTCATTTATTAAATCTTTCTTAAAATTTTCTATTTAATGATATCAATTTCAAAACTTGCAAGTTAAATTAATAAAAAAGTTAAAAGTTTAAAATTAAAAAATTATAAATTTTCATAAAAATCAACTTTAAAGAATTGTTTAATTGTTCTAACAATATAAAAACTGCATTTTGAAACTCTTCTAATATATCCTATGTAAAAAAAAATAAAGAACAATTTAGCTTTTCTGTATTGAAATAGCGATTTAATTTAATTCCAGACATATTTGGACACATGTTAACTATACATTGATTATTTTTCAAATTATTACAAAAATTTTAGGGATGTAATTAGTGAAACAGAAAAAACCTGTTTTTAAGAACCGCTTTAATCAACACGATCTCCCATACCCTCTACGCTCACTTCAGCTGTCCTTATGTCCAGATGCATTCAATAACATCTCTCTATCTCTTTTTTGGTCTTCCTCTACCTCTTCTTCATTCGACATTCATTTCTACAACTGTTCTTACGGCTTCCGATTCTTCTCTTCTCATAACATGACCAAACCATCTAAGTCTATTTTCTCTCATGTTATCCACGATTGACGCTACACCTATACTCCCTCTTATATGCTCATTTCTTATCCTATCTTCTCTAGTCACTCCACTCATCCATCTAAGCATTTTCATCTCTGTTACACTCATTCTCTGTTCTACTTTCTTATCAACCGGCCAACACTCTGAACCATACATCATAGCTGGTCTCACTACAGTCTTGTAGAATTTACCTTTTAGTCTCATTGAAATTTTTTTATATCATAAGACACTAGACGCTTCTCTCTACTTCAACTACCCGAACTTAAACCTGTGTCTTACATCCTCGTCAATTCCACCGCTTTTTTGCACAACTGATCCTAAATACTTAAAACTTAACGCCTCTCCTTTCACGTCCTCGCCTATTGTCACTGATCTCTTCATTTCACCTACCTAGTGTTCTCCTTTGTCAAACTCGTACTCTATATACTCTGTCTTACTCCTAATTATTCTTAAACCCTTTTCTTCAAGAGCTGATCTCCACACCTCTAGCCTTTGATTAACTTCCTCAACTTTTCTCCTCTTAAATATTTTCACTAATTCTCTATTTCTACCAATTAATATTCCAATATTCCACGTATCTATTCTTATTTTATATCTAATATTCTCCTTTATACACGAGCCTAGAAATGAGTGATGATATCCCTACACCATTGACACTACAAGCGTTAGGTCGGCCTGTACATATAATTGGTGAAACAGCTACCAGACAAGTTACTCGACTATCAAACATTTTATTCTTCAGGCCATATCCATCTCTAAATACTTTATTTCCTCTCACCTATTGTCTCCGCGTACATCCGAGATGGGACAATCTACTTTAAGTTCTGTTCAAGATTCCTTATACTTTATGACAAAATTTTATTCTGTCGACTTGACGCAACCTCATTAGTCGCCCCTTACGACTGGCAGAGGAGCCATGGAAATATACTTATCGCTTTTCCACAGGGATAAAAATCAATCTGGAAAAACAATCAAAATGCATTAGTAGTCAATTTCAAAAATATGACAAAACTTTAGTTTTTTAGGAATAATTTGTAATATTGAATCAAATATCGGCTTATCCGTATAGCGGAAAATTTTTTTATCAAGTCACCCTTATTTTAAACATAACGATATCAACGTAAAAAGTTAACTTATTAAATATTAAACATGTTCCAAAAATCCTAACACTTTTAAATTTACATAAAATTTAAATTAGTGTGTAATGTTTTTCAAATTAAAAAAATATTTGTTCCGATGAATGGTTTTCAAAGTGTAACTGACCACCAAAGTAAAAAAAAAAAACCCAGCACAGGGGGGTCGCGGCACAGTGGTGACGTGGCATAGTTGGATCAAGTATAATGATATCTGACAGTGATAAAATTCACTATAAAAAAAAAACGCTNTATATATAAAAGTGTCAGTCTTTCCGGAACATTTTCAAAAGTTAAGTTGAAAAAGTTCTACTTTCTATACGCATTTTAAAAGGTTTGCACCCCCCCTGTATAAAGGGAAATGGTCCGATTTTAAAAAAAAGTATGTCGAATGAAAGAAGTATATATAAAGTATTTATCATTAAAGAATAAAGTTGATTCATGCATTTTTTAAAAAGTTATAGCAACATAATGTTAAAAAATGTAAAATATAATATCAAGAATTTTTTCACAAAAATAGCATATTTTTGCATACGGTAGTCATTTTCACCCGTGAAGACAAGTCCAGAGGTCAAATTTTTTTTTTCAAATTAAAGTATATTACATTAGCTTTAATTTAAGATATATATAATAATGTCAGAATTTTCCGGAACATTTTCAAAAGTTAAGTTGAAAAAGNCTTCCGGAACATTTTCAAAAGTTATGTTGAAAAAGTAAATTTGTTGTGAAAAAGTTGTCATTTTAAATCTCCCCCTGTGGGTAAGTTAAGTGTCAGATTTACATAAAAAATATACTAAATGATAAGTAAAGACACCAAGCAACTATATAAAAAAAAATTATATTGATATGTTCATTTTTGAAAAAGTTAGAGCATTTTTAAGTTAAAAATATAAAAAAAAATTATTTTACAATAATTGTAATTTTTTATTAACTTTGATGTCAACTTTCACCACGAAGACAAGTCCAGAGGTCAAGTTTTTTTTTTCAAATTAAAGTATATTACATAAGTTTCAATTTAAGATATATACAAAAATCGTATTTTTTTTATTAAGTTTAATGTCTGTTTTTACCATGAAGATAAAATAAAGTTCGAAAATTTTTTTTACCATTATAAAGTATATTACATTAGCTTTACTTTAAGATATATATAAAAGTGTCAGACCTTCCGGAACACTTTCAAAAGTTAAGTTGAAAAAGTTCTACTTTCTATATGCATTTTTAATATTTGAAGCCCCCCCATATATAGGGAAATAGTCTGATTTAAAAAAAAAGTATATCCAATGAAAGATGTATATAAATACTACTTCTCATGAAAAAATTGTATTGATCCATACATTTTTTAAAAAGTTATAGCACTTTAAAGTAAAAAATGTAAATTATAAAATCGAAAATTTTCACACAAAAATAGCATTCGGTAGCCGTTTTCACCATGAAGACAAGTCCAGAGGTCAAATTTTTTTTTTTTCAAATTAAAGTATATTACATAAGTTTCAATTAAAGATATATATAAAAGTGTCAGACCTTCCGGAACATTTTCAAAAATTAAGTTGAAAAAGTAAATTTGTTGTGAAAAAGTTTTTAAATCCCCCCCTGTGGGCAGAAAAAAGGTCAAATTTACAAAAAAAATATACCAAATGATAGGTAAAGACATCAAGCATCTATAAAAAAAAGAATTATATTGTTATGTTCATTTTTGAAAAAGTTACGGCAGTTTTTATTAAAAAAAATTTCGAAAATTAGCGATTTTTAAATTTGTAATTTTTTTGGAGGTTTCCCCCATTTACGGGGAACGAGG